AAACCATAAATCAGCAGCACACAAGTTCACAATTCCATTCATATACACATTCTGAAGTTCATAAATAACACGCCTGACTGTATATATGACTATACTATGTTAAATGTTATCTCAAAATAAAATAATGATCTTTATTTCTGGCTGTTCTGTTTTTTTTTTATTGATAAAATGTTAAAAATAAATATCCAATGTGTCAAAAAAATATATAATTTTGAAGCAGACTTCAAGCTAAATTCACATTTTCGTGCATGAAATATATGCAAATTAGCACATTTAACTAAACAATACTTCATTTGCATATACATTTATAAACAAATATTTGTAATTCTGGCTCAGTGGTTAGAACTGGCCTCACAGCAAGAAGGCCACTGGTTCGAGTCGCGGCTGGGTCAGCTGGTGTTTCAGTGCGGAGTTTGCATGTTCTCCCTGTGTTGGCGTGGGCTTCCTCCACAGTCCAAACACATGCGCTATAGAGGAACTGATCAACTAAACTGGCTGTAGAATTAAGTAATTATATCATAGTAATGAGCTACACTTGCAATATATTGTAGTGGGTTTTAATGAGCAGTGTGTGTGTGTGCGTGTGTGTGTGTTGTAGTCGTGTATTATTAGAGTCATCATCACTCTCTGAAGGTCAGTTTGATCAGTGTTATGTGTGTTATTATGATCCACTTACGGCGCTGAAGCATCTGACCGACAGTCCGAGCGGTAGCCATGATCTACAGCTCACTTTTCCTGCACAATGTTAACAGAATAAACATACACTACACAAATAAACGTAGAAAAATCAAGTCGCTAACTGTCAGAGATCGGCGACATGCTTGCGCTGCTTCCGAGTGCAGCGATAAAAACATTCCGTGCGATCAGGGGAAGCGAGTTTACAGTTCCGTTCTGTGTTGCAAACATACTGCTTTGGGTGACATTTTAACTACAAGTACATTATAATACATTATTACATATTTGTGCAATAATTTATTTTACGTAATATATATATATATATATATATATATATATATATATATATATATATATATATATATATATATATATATATATATATATATATATTGTGTGTGTGTGTTTGTGTGTGTGTGTCTATTTACTGTAGTAATAATAATAATGTATTATGCAAAAGTACAAGTAACTAATACTAAACCTTAATTTCATTCTAACACAAACCATATAGTAGGAATATGCTTTTGCTGTTAATTACTAATACGAAGTACTTATAATATTTACTATTATGAAACAAGTTATTTCAAGGACATTATACATTATTAAACATACATTTATATTACAGCATACATAAGCTCAGTAGAACATTCATGCATACATACTGTACATATCTTCTCTGATTGGTGTTTACTGCAATAGGGGCGGGGTCAAACTGTCACTCACAAGCGATCAACCAATATCAAATCAAAAACCCTTCCCTCCCCATTCTACTCTCTGATTGGTGTTTGCTGAAATGAGGACGGTGTCAACCTGTCATTTACATAAGATTAACCAATAGCAAACCACAAGCCAATTAACCCATTAAAATTAAGCCCCGCCCACATTTGTTATTGATGCAAAAATGGAAAAACAGCACAATAGAGGAGAAAATATCTGAGTGTTGAGACTGGATTATTATTTAAATGCATATTTAATTATTAGTGTGAAGATGTGATGGTCAGGACAAGGAACATCTCAAAAATGTAAAAAAACTGTTTGACCATAAAGAACGTCATTTTTAATGTACATGACTTTATTTAAGCCAAAAATCCATTGCATGAGCCAAAATTATGCTATCCCACAATATCAAAAATAATTATATATATATATATATATATATATATATATATATATATATATATATATATATATATATATATATATATATATACATACAGTTGAAGTCCCCCAGAATTATTAGCCCCCCTGTTTCTGTTTAACGGAGAGCAGATTACTCCAGCACATTTCTAATCATAATAGTGTTAATAACTCATCTCTAATAACTGATTTATTTTCTCTTTGTCATGATGACAGTAAATAATATTAGACTAGATATTCTTCAAGACACTTCTATACAGCTTAAAGAGACATTTAAAGGCTTCACTAGGGTAATTAGGGTAACTAGGCAGGTTAGGTTAATTAGGCAAGTCATTGTATAATGATGGTTTGTTCTGGAGAGTATCAGAAAATATATAGCTTAAAGGGGTTAATAATATTGAATTTAAAATGGTGTTTAAAAATTAATAACTGCTTTTATTTTAGCCGAAATAAAACACATAAGACTTTCTCCAGAAGAAAAAATATTATCAGACACACTGTGAACATTTCCTTGCTCCAATAAACATCATTTGAGAAATATTTAAGAAAACAAAAATTTAAAAGGGGGCGAATAATTCTGTCTTCACCTGTATGTATATACTGTATATAAACTGAAATGACTGATAAAGTTAATTAGAAAAGTTAAAGTTTTGTACAGTGAGATGTTTTGAATATTTCCCAGTGATGGGTTGCAGTCAGAAGGGCATCCGCTGTGTAAAACACATGCTAGTTGGCGGTTCATCCGCTGTGGCAACCCCAGATTAAAGGGACTAAGCTGAACAGAAATGAATGAATGTTTTGAATATTATCCACCACTGAAACAGCTAAATCTGTTCATTCATGCTTTTATGTCCAAGTTAATTAGGTTTCATATACGTTTCACACAAATTCAAACTTTGTTTAATTGATATAAACTGTAAAGTTAATTAGATTCAACTTAAAATGTAAGTATTTTTTTATAGTGAGAAGCTTTAGATATTATAGCTAATTAAAACAGGTAAATAGTTTCCCATGTTTTTATGTTAATTCAATTCAAGTAGGTTTAAACTAAATGTTTTAATTCATAAATAGTATGCTAATTGATGTAAATGGAAATGACTTGTCAAGTTTACAAAAAAAAAAAATGTACAAGTTTTTCCTCAGTTTTTAAAAATGTAAGTTTTATTACAGTGAGAAGTTTTGATTATTAGACACCACTAAAACAGTTCATGTTTACTTGAAGTTAATTTATTAATTCATTCATTCATGTGTAAGTTGCTTTGGATAAAAGCGTCCGCTAAATGACTAAATGTACATGTAATTCGATTTCAACTATATATTTAATTCATACAAATTTACCTTGATGTTTTAAGTCAGTTTAATTGATGCAAACCGAAATGACTTGTAAAGTTTATTAGATTCAACTCAGAAATGTAAGTTTTGCAGTGAGATTGGATTGAGTTTTGAATATTAAACACCACTAAAGCAGCTTAATCAGCTAATTCAGTCATGCTTTTATAAATCAAGTAAGTTAATTAGGATTAAACTATATGTTTTATACACATTTAAACTTGATGTTTTAAGTCTGTTTAGCTTTTCACAGTGGGATTGAGTTTTAAATATTACACACACTAAAACCAGTAAACATCATTCATTTTATGCACCTTTAAGTTAATTAGGTTTCAACTATACTTTTAATTTTAAATATCTCATTAAGCCTTTTTTAATTTATATAAACTGAAATGACTGAATTATTTTTAAATAGTGAGATGTTTTGAATATTATACACCACTAAACCAGCGAAATCTATTCATTCAAAGGAGAATAAAAACCACAGCGAAAACATCAAAGAATGAAAATGAAAGTGAATGCGCAGTACACATGCTTGCAGGATCCTTTTATTTGCCTTTTAGTTGAAACAGAAACTACAAATACACTCAAAATATGAATTTTAATGTTTGTTCAAACTGCCTATTTAAATTAAGCTGAAGCAACACAATTCTTGAGGTTTTTGGGTGGACAACTTAAATATCTTAAGTTCAACTAACTTAAATTTGTAAAAAAGTAATTCCTTTCCCAACACAAATTGTCTGTCTGAAGCATTTTTTACAGTTTCAACTCCTAATCCTAACAATTATAAACTAATTATAAGCTAACCTAATTGTTTTTACACATTTAAGTGCACTGAACAATTAAGTTATCCCTCAAAGAGCAATAATTATGTCGTTTCAACTCATTTTAAATGAGTTTTTTTATTGTATGAGGCAAACAGATGAAGAGAGTGATTACTTTAAAAGTGAGTAAACCCGTTACCTTAAAACATACAAGTTGATTTTACCTAAAAATGTAAGCATTTCTGTAGTAACTTAGAACTGTTAAGCCCTCTTAACTTAATTTTTATAACTATGCACTTGCACTTTAAATAAATTATATGATCAATTAGTCATGACAGCATGTGTTATAGTTCATTATGATTAAGTTAATCAGGTTCTAACTTAATTGTATTAGTTACACAAGCTGTTTTAAGTCCGTTCAACATAAAATAAGATCATTTGGACTCAAAGTTAATTTAATTCAGCTTAAAATTGTAAGGCAACCACACTGTAAAAACTGATTAGAAAGCGAGTAAATCAATTGCCTTAACAGCAACGAGTTGACTTTACAATAATAAAGTAAGTAAACTCATTGCAACTTAATTTTTATAATTATGCAAATTGTACTCACCTTTTTAAAAATAAGAGTAAACTAATCACTTTTTTTTCCAATACACCTTTATTATATTTGTTTATTTCCAGCTTATCAATCTAGCAAAATGACAAACAGCAAAATAAATCTGCTCTTCACACTCCAGCATGTCTTCTAAAGCCAACACAAGCTATAACTGTATATTATATAGGAGTAATGAACCACAAAATATGTAATATTGTCATAATTACAGTAATTATATTTTAAAACACACGTGCTAAAATAGTCTGACACTGTAAACAGGGATTAGCTGACTTAAAAGGTGATATCAATTTGCAGAACTATACAAATTAAGTCAGCTTAACAGTTACATTGGGTTTACTTACATTATTTATTGTCAACTTGTTGCTTTTAAGGCAATTGGTTTACTCGCTTTAAGTAACTGATCACTTAATTAACTAGTAATAATCCTGAATATTGTGATGATCTCTCAGATAGTTTTGATGTTCAGACGGTTCGCTCACTAGCGCAAGATTAATGCTAACAGCATAGGTGTTCATCAGCACTAAACCCCTATCACGATTAGCATTAAACCTGCACCA